CAGCTGGTCTGTGGGGGTCATCAGCGGGGTCAGAGGGTCAGTGGGACCCGTCAGGCATCAGTGGGACCGCCACCGTGGGATATAAGGACACGACTGTACCAACGAAGCGATGAAGGTTCCACCTCAGCTGGCGTTCAACGGGCAGTGACTACAACGGAGACCGACTCTTTGACAAAAGTGGCTAGGTAATGCTTAAACGCTTACCTGAAGCCGTAGGAAGTGAGCGCGTGCAGAATACACAGCCGCATAGTGGAACTTTGTCGAAGCGAACAGGTTGATATGCAGTTTTTAATTCGCATTAATGCAACAGCGATTTGAGCCGGCTTCAAACGCAAACTGGTCTTGTTCTGAGCACCAACTTAAAAGCTGTTCACAAATTACGTCACTCAGTTTTGGCCATTTTAGCCCTCACTTCCCTATGGTTACGCACTGGTTGGGCTGGTCACCACTCCCCCTCCCTCCCACCTGGTGCGCTGTTTTTAGCCCACTGTCTCAAGAGAGCAACCTCCGGATGGCCCCTGCTTGGGCTGAAGATGTGAAACGGACAAGGAACTTCCACGTCATGACAAGAAGCCAATCGCATCCGATCTAACGGTGTTATTTTAGAGATTTTAGCATGTTTGCAACCACATTTGAGCGTAGCGTTACACTACATCAGGCTTTCCCTCCCTTTGTTGTTACGCATCCATTACGCCCTACCGAATGCGTTCTCTCCTCCTTACGTAACCTAATTTATGGAGGGCCGCTCATCGCGCATGATTACACTATCAGTTATTGAGAGTTTCAGGACGCTTTAACTATTCCAGTCATTCGACATGCTTGCATAGAACTGGGCTGGGCACATTGACCGGTGCGGTGGTAGTGGCTGACTTTGGGAGAAGACGGCTTTAATTCTCCACTCGCTCAGGGGATACAACAGCGCATGCACTAACAACAAACGCGTACAACACAGATATCCATGCTTAATGTGCATACACCCAACTTATGTATATATATATATATATATATATATATATATATCTCTCTCTCTCTCTCCTCTCTCCTCTCTCTCCTCTCTCCTCCCTTCTCTCTCTCTCTCTCTCCCCCTCTCCTCTCCTCTCTCTCTCCTCTCTCCTCCTCCCTCTCTCTCTCTCCCTCTCTCTCTCTCTCTCCTCCCTCTCTCTCTCCCCTCTCTCCTCTTCTCTCTCTCTCTCTCTCTCTTCTCCTCTCCCTCTCTCCTCTTCTTCTCTCTCCCTCTCTCTCTCTCTCTCTCTCTCTCTCTCTCCTCTCCCTCTCCTCTCTCCTTCTCTCTCTCTCTCTCCTCTCTCTCTCTCCTCTCTCTCTCTCTCTCTCTCTGCACTATGCAGCAACCCACCACGCACTCACACAAGGACACCGACCCAGTGAAGGTCGCCGCAGTGAGACACTGACCGAGAGTGAATGAGCCGGTCTGTCCGCCCTCCTCGTAGAAGTATCTGTCGCCGGCCTTCTGGCGAGCGAACTGGTCGGTGATGATGCAGCGGAAAGTGGGGCCTACCAGCGTCCTCACCGGGCGCTCGGACACACCGCCGATGAACAGGTCCACGTCGTCCACCGACTTGTACAGCAACGCGAACTTGCTTAGGGTCTGCGACAACGGAACCGGTGGGGTCAGGGAACACTGCGAGCCTGTTCAGGTTCTGAGACAGTGGGACCTGTGGGTCAGGGGATCACCGCGAACTTGCTCAGGGTTTGCGGCGACAGTGCCCTCAGGGTCAGGGG